TTTACACAGTAAACACACAAAAACCATCCTCACAAACAGTGCTGAGAAAAGAATCAGAGTTGTTCCTTCCTTTAGTGAGACTATTTAAATCAAAACCAGTAACAAGCAGAGGAGGACTAAGGCAGAGATTAATGTTCCTCCATGCTTTTCAGCTTTATAAAGCTACTTTTATAACATTCAAGCAAATTGTACAGTGACTGACATGAACAAAATGACAGTAATCTGTCACTATTTCACATTTCCCACTAGGCTGATTCAAATACTTATTTATGAACCTTACACTTCAATGGTCACTTTGATGACTAAACCATAAATTAGAATGTAAAGTGAATATAAATTTGATTTTAGAGTAACAACAAATTGTCAGCAAAGTGGGATATTATTTAATTTCTATCGACACACTATGAAAAAGTCAGCAATACCAAGATGCGCTACATCATAATAAACCCCAAACTTAGAAAAAAAATGTACGCTAGATCTCACGTTTGCTTCAGTGCTTCTGCATTTATAAATAAAAGCACTTTATATTATGCTTGGTTAGTTTTAAATATAAAGTCTTAATAATGTCAGATGACTTCATTAGTTAGATCTTCAATTAAACAGGGAGCAAGAATGATTTTTTTTTTCCACAGAGCATGATTAAATTTGACAGCAAGTAAATATTAATGTGAATTTAGATGCTAAGGTTTTTAAAAGTCCTGATGAAAAGCTTACTTTTAAGACAGTGTTGCTGTTTTTCCAATATTTATCTCCTGCTTTACAGCTGAAAGTGAGATGACACTGAAACATAATAGAAATTCTGCAAAGAACAACAGTTCTTAATTTGTTAGAAAAACTTATTTTTTTGGGGGGGTGGGGGGGGAATGACTCAGAAAAAATTAATCCTTATTACCCAAACATCAGGTCTTGCAGGGACTCATGTGTCAAAAAATTATCTTGATAAACTAATTTTCTTTTATCAGATTATTTTCTGTTAAAAAGTTCCATTGCCTATTATGTTACTATGTGGGTTACTGTCTGTTACTCCTGCAAACATATAAGATGAACACATAGACCCTTCCAAAACTGAATGCAGCATGATTATACTTTGTCTGGAAAAGTTCTAAAAGTGTGACACATAAAAGAGACTTCAACGTAAGTTTCTCTCTTTTAGCAGCATCAAAAATGGGAAGTTGTGTCAGACTCTTTAATATTCCTTACTTTTCAAGTATATTTTTCCTGAAATTCTTACATGGCATGATACCAAAATGCGATCCAATTTAAAACTACTTTAAAACTACTTTAGCTTTAGCAGATTGGTGGCAGAAACCCCTTAAATAGCTGAGATTTGAAACAACAAACAAGCAAGGAAAACCCTGCAGCTTTAGCAATAACTGAGGCCATTCTGCATTATTCTGCTACGTCCCAGTGACAAAGATACCCTTCAAGTAACAAATGCATAACAGAAAGATAGGTACTTAATGTCATTTGTTTGACAACAGTTTAATTATAATATATTTAAGATATTTGTATCAAACACTAGTTTTCTGTGTTTGCAAAACTAAAACATATGTGGAGAGATTTTCATATTCTGAAAATTCAAGCATTGCTATTCCAGGGAACTAGAACCCTACATGCCCTTTTTGCTTCTGAACATCTTCCCGGCTGAAAAATTCACACCTACATACAAAAAAAAAATTAAAGCAAGGTGTATGCATTACGTGGTAAAGCGAAATGTGACTCTTAATGGCTTCTCTCAATCTTGAGTCAAGAAAGATTTCTTATAAAATTTCTTTGCCATTACTACAAAGTAGCAAAATGGAAAAAAAAAAGTAGCACATTAAAATGGTTCTGCTGGTGTAATGAAAAAAGCAGAATCCAGGCTAAGAGAAAATAATAAATCTTGTCTAACTTTTTATTGCTGTCATTTTCTTGAATGAAGAATTAAATTCACAACATTTTTACCAGTGCAAAATACAGGCCAGTATATGATACAGTTACCTATTGTTCACATACAAGCTTGTAAGAGATACTTGTGTACATACAGGCACGTGTATGTGTATGATCAAAATGTTCACTAGCAATCAATGAATGCAAAATGTCCTTAAGCCCAACTACTCTTTTACAAAGGAGAGTGAGTGGGTATACCAGTCAGAGATCAACCAAGCCTGTCTGCTCTTCTTTCTCTTCCCAAGGCAGCTGAAAGACCTATCTGATGCTGAGAAAACTATCTGATGCTAAAAGAAAACTTCATAAAATGTGCAAGGCAAGACCTACACCCTAGAAGGAAGGGAGTCTGCCCTGTCGAGAGTCTGCCCTGTCAAGGGTCTGGTTTAGAGAAATGTTATCTTTTTTCAGGGTCTACAGTAACAAGGTAATCCGGGTGTTCACAGGACTCAGACAGGAGAGAGAAGTTTTATTTTAAAATTTGTTTCAGACCTATTATGGGTCAGATGAGTCAGTAGAACCATGTTTTGTTGAAAGAAAAGCTGGAAAGCTTTTATTTTAACAAGATGTACCCACCGTCTGACTTAGAACTGCCTTTTATTATTTAGGTTCATAGAACCAGCAAGAGCCAAATCCTACCCACATCAAGTCAGGGTACCCCAAACATTAAGATACTACAAATCGGTGTTCTCATTTTAGCATCCCAGATACATATTTATAAAGCAGGAACAATATCTCTCACCTATTTCAAGTGCTTTGATACCTTGAAATTGAACTCTTTTCAGAAAAAGGAAGTACTTGCTATTATAAAAGAGTTGTGCCAAGTAGGTCCTAGTTAAGATATTTTAAAATAACAAAAAAAAATTTAGTATACTTCAGTCATCCATTTCATGGCAAAACAGTTACTGTGGTAGCCTCACTAATGTTTTCCTGATTTATCAAAGATATAATGTTTACATTCTTTCTTACAACCATCACAGAGCATTTTCTGACATGCTGACAGGAATTTATCTTAGCCACAATCTGGAAGATATTTTCTGTTGCATTTTAATATTGGAGATCCCACGTCCACGAATTGTTACTTCTTTGATGCAGATTTCTAAGTGGCAGAATTTGACCCTGTGCATTCTTGTCTTTTGCCACCCCCTGTGATGGATGCACTCCTCCTGTTCAAAGTAACAGAACTTTGGTCCAGGCAGATGCTCAGCAAGCAGGCCTAACCAAAGTTAGTCCTATTGTGCGAGGCTATCAGTGAGAACCCAGCACCAAAGCAAAAAAAAAAAAACCAAACCCAAAACGGTTTGGCTGGAGACTGGGCTGATAAGTGGCCGAAATTGCATAAACACAGCAGAAAATCTGACTACAAATCAACCACTTTATGCTATAAATATCTGCAGCCATCAGGGTCCGTTGAGCATTTCCTCCATAGCAGCTGGCTGCGTGACAGTGATCTCCCCTTGAGTAGGGATGCCTCTCAAGGTTACCCCTCGAGGCTGAGAGACCCCTTACCTGACACCAGACATCGATGGGTTGGTAAGTGTCATTTTTTGCATGCATGTAACATTTAAGATACGTATAGTGAGCTTAAGCGATAATCTTTGTATCCCATACTAACTTTTCGTGTAGTAAATAGTAGAGTATTGACCACCAATCCACCTGTACTTATTAAATATTTCACATACCTAAATTTAGTGACTAGAACTCAATAAACTAAGTACTAGCTCAGATCTGTCTGAGTGATCTCAGACTCTTCTCCTGTGACACCCTCTCCTTCATTGTCTTTTCCAGCCTCTAATACTTCCCTGGAGAATATTGGATATCAAGGCGCTCCAAGATGAAACCTCAAAAAGAAGAGCTGAAAATGCTACTCATCACCTACAGATATGAGAAAAAACACTCCAACATTTAAATATAATTGCATTGAATCAATCCAATCTGAACTGCTTCTTCAAGAAACACTTTTAAAATACAAACATAGCAGTGTTCGGGTTAAAAAAAGATAGCAAAGCTATGGTAGCACAAAACAACACCTGTTCCTGGGAGAAGACATTCCAAAGAAATAATTTAGCTTGCACCAAAATATTCATACTTAATTCCCAAATCAAAGGGCCCAGCTTCCTACTGAAATAAGAATCCAGGTAACTGACCTGCTGGTTGTTAAAAGATTCATGTTAAAACAGATAGATCATGGAGGAATAGATGCACATATTAATGCGATATTTAATAAAAGTACTACTGAGCTCTGACCAGTGTCAGTAAGTGCAGATTTTGCAAGGAGGGACAGCTTAAGCATTGCAAGTGCCCTTGGAGAGTTCAGGCATAGAAGCTTGCTTTCTTCAAATTTCCAGTGGTCAGTGTAGACAGACAGTGGCTATGTACGAGAAGTACAAAGTACTTCAACTTCGTTGAATGTTTGACAAAGTATAATTAATTTCTAAATAATAAGGTACCCAGTGGAAGGAACAGAGATGCTATAATTGCTACTCAGACAAGGTCAGAGAAATATATTGCCGGTGATTCAACTTTTTCCAAAGAAAAATCTATCACTCTGCTTGGACACATTTAGCCAGCATTTACTTAATTCACTTTAGGATTTTCTTGTTCTGCTACTGTTCTAACACTGTATCTGGAGGTGGGAAAAAACAAACACAGAGGGCAAGACTATTAGGCATGTGTGTCACAGCCACTCTTCTAAACCTATGATGGAAGGAGGAAAGCATGAGGAAAGCAATCTAATACACATGAGCTAGAGGAAACAGATTAAAAGGAAAATGAGGGCAGAACAGAGAAGCAGAGTGAAGAGACAGTAAAACAAACAGCAGAAAAGGTAACAGAAGAGCATATAAACTTTTGACAGCAAGGCCTGTTCCAGTTAATGGAACAAACATCCCTAATTTCCCTGTTGCGGCCATCATGGATAAACAGACGTTTCCCACCCTCTCAAACTCAGACATACAAAAATTACTCTTCATCCAGAGATGTTTTGAGCAAGGATCTGTTTTTTCCATCTGTAGTGGCATAAGACAGTTAACTGAGGAGTGTACAACTCTTAGATAAAATGATAATAAACATACCTGCCGATGAATAACCTCTAGGTTTGCTTTGGCTTTATTCACTAGTTCTTCTATTTTTTCAGAATCCTTTACATTCTTGTTTTCTCTGAAGGCATCTCTTATCCTTCTGATGGCATACGTTCTAAACACAAACAATAAGGAAATGTGTATTCATAGATGTGCCACAGTTTACGACATTTCAACATTCTTTAAAACACGCTGATTTTAAAAAATAAATATACATACACATACATAGATATTTTGCCCAGTTTTACACATGTATCTTTTTATTTAGTCTTGTCTTGTCTTGCCTGACTTGAAACAGTGGCCAAATTCTTTAACTAAAAAAGTGGTTTTATTGGAAGTTATTGTAGAAAAATTTCATATTTCACACATCAGTCCAGTCCTTACTGCTTGTTATTGCTGTAAACATACTGTTTGGATGTCTGGCATGGATACTGCAAAGCTCAAGAACATAACAACGAGCCTAAGGACAAAAACAATCATCCCCCAAATTATTCTGAATCAGTGCCACTATTCTTATTCTGCATATTCTAAATGTCATTGGGCTAACCACTAAATCCATTATACATTATTACTAGTTCTGACTTTGTAATCTCGCAGTCAACAAAGGTAGACCTATGGACCAACCATAACAAAAAGGGCTCCTTCCCTGGCACCCCTTTCGTCTCCTGACAAAGTATATTTCAGTCCTCAGTCCAATACCTCCTCATCCATTTCCCCACTAAGAAGCAATAACCGGACACGATCTCTGCAAGCAGGAAGAGGTTATGATCTCTGTTTTCAGAGAGGAAGGTCCAAAGCTGCAGCTGTCTCCGAATCTCCTCCCTTTCTTTTCAACCCAGTAAAGAACCTTTATGCAGTCTGTAGTGTACTGCTCAATAAAAAATAGGGCCAATTTCAATATTAAAATATAATTTTCAGACCGAGCAGTAGACACTTTCACTACACACGTGCTTGGGAGGGGAAGGAGAAATGGCAGTAAACTGATCCTGCTCAGCTATCTTGATAGTGTCCCACTTCTCTACCACCACGTCATATCAGTATCATTTTTACTACAGAAAGTAAAACCCTGTGTGCAGCACTGGAAGGAAAAACAAGGCTGCTGCAAACACCACAAATAGTGTAATATTTCAACAACCTTTTTCAATCTCGTATAAAAGTGAAACACAAGACACAAAATTGTCTGAAACACGATCATAAAAAACTCCAAAGACGATGTTGAAAAATGAAAACATTGGGGGAGGAGACTGAGGAGGGGAGAGGTAAAAGAGGAAAGATGAATAGCCAGCAGCACTCCGTACCATTAGATGGTGCTACCCAGCTCCTAATGCAGCCTCCACCAGCCAAGCGGCATATTTTCTCTTCGAGCTCATAAATAATACATTTCAGTCTCAGGAATGAGGATGGTTATGGAGTGCCACCCTGCTGCCGCACACTGGCAGATGGTGCGTGCTTTTAATTAGGGCCTGTTCACCTATAATGTGACACTGGGGTGCGTGAGCGAGTGAGTGTGCGTTTGTATGTGTGAAGTTAATAGAATGTATTAAATATGTAAGCTCATTCTCATCTGCAGCTGCTGTCCTAGCAAGATTTGAAGGGGAAGCTGCTTATTTCTTCTAGAAAAGAAACAACCCGAAATCATTAAGATGCAGTGTAATTTTGTTGCTTGATAACAGATGGATTTCAAATCACCCCAGATACATACATAGGGTTAAACTGTGCAGAAACGTGTAATATTTTCTTCAAGAAAGGAAGGGTTTCCAAAAGATACAAAGACCTAATATATATATATATATATATATATTTATTTTAGCTTAAAAGAAAAAACAACAACAACCACCACCATCAAGTATCCATTATTGGGTACAAGTCTTTCAAAATGCAATACAAATGAGTAAATGCTATCTACACAAAAAAGATAGATGGGACTAAAACAAACTCTTGTTCAGTATAACACCTACAGACTGTTTTCTTTGGTTTGTACATATGGTGCATTAATTGTTCCATTTACTCTCCCTTCCTCTCATTACACCCAACAGTTGTTGAGAAAGAAAAGATATGTACTTAGAAAACATCATCAGACCAGTTTTTATCTGTAGTCAGAAGGTTGCACTGTTTTTTCCTTTTACAATTTCTTTAAACCTTTATGAACGTTAACACCCAGATGAAGTTATTTTACATAGGCTTTAACACAATCTTAATTCTACAGCTCAATCAATACATCTCCAGTATTCTCTAAACACACTTCAAAGAGCAGCTCTATATCCTGGTACTACTCTTTAATAAGGTTACATTGAGATTCAATATATCACTTAAAATAAGGGTGAGCTGAACTCAAAGCTCAAACCCAATACTATAATGACTGTAAAACATCCTTTCTTCCCCATTGAGAGATGCAAGGGGAACATTTCCCCAATACTCAAATTCTTTCAAAATTATGTAAAAAGTGTTAAGTCAAGATATAAACAAACAGGCAGGTTTTTTTTTGGGGGGTGTTGTTTGGTATTTTTTTAAAGAACAGCTTTTTATATGCAACAACAGTTGTGAGCAGTGTCATTTCCAAACCTCAATACTCTCTACACTTTGAGAGTTTCTGAACTGAGTATGTACTAAAAGCTAGTACTAACATTAGGGCTGCAATATTGCTGCAAGTCCACAAACAACTGATCTCTTTTGAAAGTACAGTAACGTGTAGCAACATATAGTAAAGATACACGTGCTATGAAAAGAACTTGTTCATTCGCACATATATCTGTTGATTTTATTAAAGAGCACTACTCCAAAGATCTTCTGGCTGATGAACAGACTGGTCAGCTGATCAGCTACTCTAATGGTGTGTTTTTTCAGTTCAATAAGCATAAACACCAAAACCAATCACGTACCATTTGAAGGCACAGCTTGAAATGTCAGTGGCAGAGAATATATGGCTATCTTCATAAAACTTTGCAACATTAACCTAAAAGAAGCACTATCTGAAGACAGAGTGACATGAAAAACACAGTGGCAAGAGAAATGGTTGCTGTACTAAGGTACTAAGTTGCTGTACTAAGGTACGGATGATTATTTACCCAAGCTGGCACAAAGGAACTGAGGCCACACAGCACTGCAACAAGTTTAAGCCAATGCAAGTGAAGTGGAGCTGCTGCAATTTTGCCACCATCCCTGGTAGGCACAAACCCTCCCTCTGCCTTCTTCAGACCAGCACAGCCAGTCTGATATTTGGCCCTGTGGTGAGCCAGTCCAACTTGGTAACCTGACAAAAGGCCAACCTACTAAAAGAGTTAACTTCTTTTTTTTGTTGTTTTGAGATTTTTCTGGATTAGCAAGCTCCATCGGCTCTGCGTGGGAGTGGATGAGCATTAGCACTGAGGAGGAGGGAATACAGCAGTACTGATTTAGATGGATACAGTTTGCGACAGACCTCACTCAGAGAGGCCGAGCAAGTCGCATGAACAAAGCGGACTCTTCAGCAAGAAGGTACCAAGCAAGCTCTCCAGAGGAACAGAGTGGGAAAGCAATTCTGCATGCAGTACATTCAAACAGCTCCTATAGAGCTCCGGGAAAGGTCCTAGGAATGCAACAGTGTTCATTAAGAAACATCACTGCAAATGAAAACTCAAACTGCATTTCACAATCTGCTATTTTTCTCACCATTCTTTGGAAACAGATACTAAAAAATGGCTGAAAGATGCAACGAGGCATTTTCTTTTCTTTTTGTCATCCAGGCACACTGAAATTTTAACAGATAACACCTTTGATTTTGTCTTCTGCAAAGACCTTCTAGCGAGCTAGTGACAGCAGGACCCAAGCAAGAGCGTACAGTTGAATATTTTCACTCAGCGCTCTCTTCCTTATGCACACTCAAAACACTTTTTGTGATCCCTATTTACGTGCATCTGTCACACAATTAACTCCCAATTAAATCAAAAGTATGTACTCAATGCGTAACAGACTCAGTGTGATGGCTTCAAACCAAAGCCATTGCAGGTGGATGGCCATGCAAGGTAACAGATGCACATCAGTAGAAAACAGAAAGCGTGGTTGGGGGTTAATGCGAGAACAACGCTGGGGCCAAAACATTGCCACAGACTCACAGGGAATGGGCACTACCTGCTAACGTTAAGAGACAACAATGCCCCCAAATAACAGTAAAAAACCCACAGAATTACAGTTAGAAAACAGTCTTTTTCCTAATACTCAGTCATACACCTCTACCTTCACAGAATTCATCTTTTTCCTTCCCTAAAGCACAACTGAAAACCTAACATATGTGCTCATAAAAATGAAGCCTACAAGAAGTGAAGTCTGAAACAACGGCTTGTCCTGGGTTTAGCTGGGATAGAGTTAATTTTCTTCCTAGTAGCTGGTACAGTACTGTGTTTTGGATTTAGTATGAGAATAATGTTGATAACAAACCGATCCTGTAGCTGTTGCTGAGCAGTGCTTACACTAGTCAAGGACTTTTCAGCTTCTCACATTGCCCTGCCAGCAAGGAGGCTGGAGGTGCACCAGAAGCTGGGAGGGGACACAGCCAGGACAGCTGACCCAAACTGGGCAAAGGGCTATGCCATACCGTATGATGTCATGCTGAACAAAAAACTGGTGAGGCTGGCTGGGGCGGCAGGGCCGCTGCTTGGGAACGGACTGGGCATCAGTCAGCAGGTGATGAGCAACTGCGTTGTGCGTCACTTCTTTTTCATATTCTTTTATCATTATTTTTCCTTTCTTTTCTGCCCTATTAAATTGTCTTTATCTCAGCCCATGAGTTTTACCTTTTTTCCAATTTTCTCTCCCCCATCCCACTGGGCAGGGGAAGCAAGTGAACGGCTGTGTGGTGTCTACCTGCCTGCCGGGTCACGGGAAAACAAAATCGCAATAGCGGTACTTCAGAAAATAATAGCTGCTTGGGGATTTAGATATTCTTATTTCAAAATGTTTACTTATGAAAATAAAAAAAATCCATTTCCTTTTCAAGTCTTCACTCTCGTATCTTTGTGCTCTGCTGAACTAGAGAGTGTAAGAAAAGAACACTGCGCAGACATACTTGCTTTTAAGTACACAGTACTATGCCTTCAAAATAAACCTGGCTAAGCAATGTTTTTCTCAGCACCACTTTGCATTTACCAGTATCACAACACGCTAAAGATTTACGTCACCTTTCCAAGACAGCTTTA